GGGTCACAAAGAATCGGACGTGACTTAACAACTGAACAACAACAGTGAAAGGAGACAAATAATCTGAGAGTTCGGTAAGTGTCAGAAATGAGATTCTACCTTCCCTCTGAATACACTTCTCCCAAAGAAATCTTTGTTATACAGCTGGAGAGTCAGGATTCCCATCATACTCAATACCCAAGCCAGTGCATTGCAAACTGCAGCAGTTGAGAATCAGTGAGCTGAGTTTGTTCTTTGGACAGGACTGGTTTAAAAGCTCAGTGGATTATGAGATGGCAGGATTCATCATCTTCCCAAGAGAATCAAAAGCAGGGGGATTTTTAAAGGGGTCCCCTTCTACACTCTAGTTTCAGAATAGTTTTTCCCACTTGTGTCAGTTATTGTAATTAATATTATTCCTATATGATCTGTAACATTTAGCAAATCTTGCAATGTTTTGAATTTTGCTATATTGTGAAAAATAAAAGAAGGAAACAACCGATCTCATCACCACTGATGAAGCCTACAATATAATTCTATTCCAACTTTCCTCTGGTGCTTTTCAGATGTGTTAGGATCACTGGCTGGAGGGTTTGGATGTTTCAGTCACAAGCATCTGATACTAGCCATGATGGTATCAGGTACATCATGATGTGATCGTGCAAATGATGCAAAGTTGCATCATTTGCACAAAAGCATCAGGGTGCATCTGGGCTCATCTTGCCCACCCCAAGACATCCATGGTTTTGGTCCCAACTTATCTGGGGAATGTCAGGTCATTCTGCATACTATAAGGCAGGGTTTGACTTAATGAATGTATTAAATGAAATTTTATTTAATTTAATGAATATAAAATTTTATTTCAAGACAAAACCCCACCATATGATGCATAGATCTCTTGAGGCTCTTTTTAAGGAACCTCCCTGACCATCTGTTATGTTGCAGATCCTATTTCTGTTATTGCTGTGGCAACTGTGTTAGGCTCTGAAATTTACAAACCAAACATTCAAAATTAGTTCTTTAGGGAAAACTTTAAACTAACAAACACATCATCTTACAAAAGAGCCTGGACAATCAAACTTCTTTTGAGCCTGCAAGGAATTTATGTGAACACGAAGAATAATTAACCAATCAGTGGTTGAAATTACAGCAAGTGACTAATCTCTGCCTCTTATAGATTTGTTTATTGCAAAGACTTGGTTGTTACAGAGGTTTTAAACAACAAAATAACCAAGGACTTTTCTTTCTTTCTTGGAGTGTTTTTCAGTTTATGCTCAGCAGGTAGCTCATGTTGTCTGAGCTCCAAAGCTAAGCATGGTTGGACCATTTGGTATTTGGATGGGCAACTACTAGGAAATGTAAGGGTTATTGTAGGCTAGGCTGGGAAGTTAAAATATATTCTAAAATAAGATAATGGCATCTTCCTTGACAACTGCTGTCAAGAAAGGTACCTGGATGTGACTATGGGGTCATCAGAGTTGAAGTTAACTCAAAAGAGACTTCACCTGTTCGTTTATCTGAAGAAAA